GCCTCAAACAACGTTGCAAAAGAAAGGGTAGAATTCTGCAAAATGGATTACTAATTGTCTTGAACACTTCCAAGGACTTTACAACCACTTAAGTGTAACACAAGTTACAAATCGTAAGTTAAACACAATATCCTAAGGCATTAATGTAACACAAAATAAATAAAAGAAAATAATATGCCACAGAAATAAACACGCAGACAATAAACTGTGTAAATTACAGACGCTAATTTTAACTCCAAAAACCATAATGATTAAACTAACTACTCGCAGATTTAAGATAAAGGTAACTAAAAAACTTGGTTGGTAAAACCTAGAAGAGAATCTACGAATTGATCACAATTTGGAAACTAGTAAAATTAAATCTTCATCTAGAAATTGAAATTAAACAACTTGTAAGTTTGGTAGTTGAGTAGAAACAAAGAAAAGAAGGCAAAAAGCATTCAACCTATTTACCTAAACAAATAACAAAGTTGAATCCATAAGAGAAAGAAAAACTAACCAAATCAATGGGGTAAACTCGTTTTCAAGGTTGATCTACTTCCAAATCCTTAAAAACTAACCAAAGTTGTAATGTTTGAGGGAAAATACAAACAAGGATGGAAATTATGCTAAAATCAGGAAGACATAGTCTGAAAATTGGAAAAGCATACGCACTGGGCAGTTTTCTGTAGGGCAGGCCATGTGGAATTGATTTTTCCTCTTGTTTTCCTTTTCTTCGATGCTAAGAACCTTCCTCCATGATTCTTGACTCTCTTCCACCATAAACGAACAATGGGTACTCCACATTTGAGGCAGTTTTCTTTTGTCTAGTAGCTGACAGTTTTAATCTAATTTTAATTCTAATAAAACCCTAATAGTAACCTTTTCTTAAAAATCCTCAACTTCCTAATTTAAATCCAACTCATCCACTAAGTAAATCACCTTATCTTTAGCCACATAAGTCTAGCTCACCATAAATTCCTTTTGGGCTATAAAATATTAAGTTGGCCTAACCCAATCCAGCTTGTTGACTCTCTTTAATAGTTGGCCCTCATCCTGACACATGGCCTTATTCCATTAGTTTTATTTTAGGTGTGAACAATGCCCCCAACACTTGGTTTTATGGGAATAAATCCAAGTGTTTAAAATTTGAAAAATTTCTTTTAGAACTTCAAAGGCCACATGCAAAATCTACTAAATTCCAAAATGATAATAGCAGGTATTCCCAACTTTTTCATAGCTAACTCTATCTAGGCACATCTAACCATCCACAACCAATCATGGCCTCTTGATCAATCTTCATCTCATTCAAAGTGAAATAAATGAAAAAAACTCATTTTAATTATGCACAAAAAGAAGTGTGAACCTGGTTCAGGCAGCTTCTCGGGACTCCATTCCTCTTGCCTTCTAGACTATGGGGAAATATGGTTTGAGAAAAATCCCGTTGATTTTTCTAGGATGAAGCTCTCATTCTAGCGATTCTAACCAATAAGCTCCCCTTCTCAACACTTCATGAATTCGGAATAGTCATTCCCAATTTGGAGACCACTTCCCAAACTTGGGATCTTTCTTGCCATGAGGTAAAATTAGTTTCCAAACTAAATCACCAATTGCCAGATTCTTAGTCGTCACCCTTTTATTGTAAGACTTTGCAATCTTTACTTTTTGAGCTTACATTCTATCCAAGGTTGTTAAACATGTATCTTCAAGATCCTAAAGCTCAAGCATCATGGCCTTGTCGTATTCCCCAGACTAGAGATTATGTTGAATTGTTATTCTCAAAGACCTGGTCATTAACTCCATTAGCAAAATTGCATCATGGCCATATGTCAAAGCAGAATGAGTCATTTTGGTTGAACTCCTTTGTGAAGTGCTATAGGCCTACAATGTTTTGAACAACAATTCATGCCAACGTCTGGGATTGTCATCCACCATTTTTTCAAGCAAATTAATCATTACTTTGTTGGAAGCCTTTGCCTATCCATTAGCTTGTGCATAATGTGAAGTAGAATTAAGTAGACAAAAACCCATTTCCTTTGCAAACTCCTCCACTTAATGGCTGACAAAAGCTATGCCTTGGTCTGTAGTTATTGTTTTTGGCAGACTAAACCTATGAATGATGCCCTTTTTGATAAACTTCATCACATCAAATTAATCCACCTTCTTCAATGGTTTAGCCTTTACCCATTTTGTAAAATAATCCATGGCCACTATGATAAATGAATGACCTTTCAATGAAGGAGGGTACACCTTTCCAATCAAATCAAGTGCACAACCTCGGAATAACCATGGCTTCTTAATTAGATTGAGTTTGACGGCTAAAACTCTTTGAAGTGGCCTACGAACTTGACAAGATTTACAACCCTTAGCATAAGCAATACAATCTTTCAAGATAGAATGCCAAAAGAAACCATGTCTGTGAATCAACTAACACATCTTTTTCCCAGCTTGGTTTGCACCACATATTCCACTATGAACAGTAGACAACATCTGGAAACTTTTATTTGGACCTAGATATCACAATAATAGCTCATCATGGCCTTTCCTATAAAGCACATCCTCAATCAAGACATAGTTGAAAGCCTGCATTTTGGTTTTCCTAGACACCTTAGCACCCTGATCTTCAAGATACTAAATAATTGAAAAGCACCAATCCGTTTGAGCAACATCAATGCTGCAAGTTGAAACTGTCATGCCACATGGTGAATTGATGGTAGATTGCACGTTTCAATTATTACAACTTTCTGTAACACACCTTCAAGGATTCATAGACGTGAAGCAATTTGGGCAATTTCATTGGCTTTGCAATTTTGGTCTCTAGGCACATGTTTGATGGACACATCATCAAATTCCTCTAACAATTGCACAGTCAAGGCAAAATAAGGAGCCAAAGCAAGGTTGATACATTTGTACTCACCAAACAACTATTTTAAAATTAATTGCGAGTCCTCAATAACCTTAATCATGGATACCTTAAGCTCTACCAACATCTCAAGGCCAATAATTAGGGCCTCATATTTTGCTTGATTATTTGTACAACTAAAATCCAACTGAAAGGACATTTGTGTTTTTAGCCCAAACAAGGAAATAATCACGACCCCAGCTCCAGACATGGTTTCTGTGCTAGAACCATCAAAATAAGTTTCCAAGGAACTAAACTTATTGAGAACAAGTTAGTCCCCTTTTCTTCATCTACTTCCACTTCCATACACGGGTGATGATGCACTAAAATCATCCTAGCAAGTGTACTAGTCGCTCCAAGTAATATAATGATGAATAGAGTGTCGAACCCACGAGGATTGTGTCTAACTAAATACCAAAATAATTAATCCAAATTTATTTGAACAACCAAATGGGAAGAAAATTTAACTAAAAAAATAATAAAAGGAAAATAACAATTAAATTAAACCTAACCAATATATGAGATACTAAGACATTGACTTCACCATAATCAATCAATATAAATTCTAGATTACTAAATTGTTAAGTGTTATTGCATGTGATGGTGGATTTCCCTAAATTAATTAACTAGCTTTCTCAAGTCAAGTTAATCCTTCATTGGTTTGTTAAATTAATCATATCTCT